ACAACTGCCTCAATTGAATAAAATAAGCATAAAATATACAAATCAGTAAAATAATGTTTGAAAATTGAGAATAAGAAGAATTGTATATTTGACATTTAGTTTACCAATGTTAATGGCTGAGTAACTTGATATAAACATTGGAACAAATACTGTATGTGGGTTGCTCATTCTGAAAAACCCACTGAAAATGAAAAACTGTCTCTAAGCTGCTGCCCTTCAATGTTTGTTTCCTTCCTGTGTTGTTTTATAAAATATAAATCTCATCCATATGAAAGCAGCTAAATCAAGCAAACAAGCTCTGACAAACCCAGTCTGCTGCCCTGCTCAAGTTGGTGCTGACAGTCAAGTGAATGTTGTGTTTGCTGTCATCAAGTGGAGACATTAGTGGGATGCCCATGTGCAGCTGAAAAGATTTTGATGTTGTTTTAGGTGGACGATAAAAGGTGAGGTGAGTGATCTTTATCAATGTAAATAGACATGTGTCCAAAATATACGGTTCTGTGTGCGGTTTTTTTTTCAGTAGAAGGATGACAGAATGGGACTAATGTGTATTAGCATTCCCAGATGTCAGAGTTGTTGGTTCTGTCCGTGTGTGTTATTTGCAGGTGATAAAATTGTTCTGCTCTTTGAGCTGCCAGGGAAAACAGTTTAGACGGTGGCCTGACCCCAGTTAGTGAGCTCCCCAGAGAAGGCCTCATCAGATGGCTGATTAGATAGACACCCGTGGTTTGACATGGATGATGCTGAACAGTCGCTGCCACCCCTGGGTTCCTGGGCTTGGTTTTTATCTTTGTTTAGTTTGATGAAATTTACCACTGACATTAGAGGCTGCAGATAATGGAGCAGGCGAACAAACTGGAGGCCTGACCTCTTTCATGTGGAAGGAGAGCGAGGAGTTAAAACGGGTATAAAAATAATGCACAGATTAAAGTCATTACTCACATTCTGGCCTGTTGTAAATTATTCACGTGGGCTTTGCGTGAGTGTACGGCATTAATGCAAAACTTGATTTAAGATTGTTGGCAGGCTTTAGAGCACAGGGCCTGTCAGTAATCACTAAGGTAGAGTGTTTGTTATTTAGACACCATGTAAACCAGCCAGACTGCTCTGACCAGGAAAACATATCCCTGAACCACATGAAGCTCATGTCCTGGCTGAGGGTCTTAAATGCAGGACTCAGCTGTAGGTCAGAGGTTATGTGTACTATGGTGCGTGCGTGCGTGTGTGTGTATGAGTGTGAGACTATTGATATGTTTAAGAATGGAACAGTTTAGGATTCAGAAATGAATTGTGCAGGCATTTGTAAGAACTAAAATGCCACTCAGTACAGCACCCAAATCAAGCTGCAACAAATTTCACAATTCTCTAGAAAATTGGTGAAAATGTAAAAAAAAATAAAAATCCTTTGTGTGGTTTTTGCGTAATCCCTCTAACAAACAAAACACAAATAATCCAACAAACAAACAGACAGGGACAAAAACACAACCACCTTGGTTGAAGCCATCATATTATTTTCTAAACTGTGATATTGTTCAAGTGTGAAATAAAATATAAATCTGTTTGTATGAAACTGAGAATGTAAACAAAGTGAGCTGTTTGTCAGGAATAATAATATTTTTAGATTTCGGGACTTTTCGTCTTCTAGTGAACAGTTTAGAGCAGATGTCCAACAAATGCGGTGTGATTTATTTATTTATTCCTGTGAGCTTGGAGGATGGATGCAGTTAGCACAGTACATTCATTTACAGCTGTCGGACACACTTTTGTAATAGCTGTTGTTTGAAGACTGCTGTGCCCAATTATCAATTTGTCTATAGCCGTGTGCCGGTTTGAAGGCATGAGTGAGGACAATTGCATGCAACATATACATAAGTAAAATTATAATGAGCAGAAATGGGAAAGTCATGCTGCCAAATGCCTTACTGGTAGCACTAGGAAATGATTTCGATGAGATGAGACATTTACTTTATTAATGCCTGTTCTTTATATATTCAAACAGCAATGTTTGAAACAATGACAAATATAATTCAAGGAAATCACAGCAACAACACATTTCACTGCTTATCAGTCGCAGCATAACAGAATTAAAGGTCAGGAGATAAATACAGATATAAATACATATATAACCAGCTGAAGGTATAAATCAACTGGTTGTATGGCTCAATTTTATAATTTAGTTTTCCACCAAAAAGTGTTTACAGGTAAATTAAATTCTTGTTTTTTTAATTTGAGACTTTGCTGTGCACATTTTGTTTAGTCACTATAATGACAAAGGACAGGATCATCTGCAAGTGATCGCATTATTTACTACTTAGTGCTCCATTTAATTCCAATATGAATCAGTTAAATTAAGATTTGTAAAGTGAGAATGAGAAGAATTATATTACTGACATTCAGAGGGTTTTTACATGAACCAATGTTACTGCTTAAAACAAACTACAAGTATTTTTTTGCACTAAATGAAAAAAAAGGTTTCCACAGCTTAAAGCATCGTTCATCCTTAAAAATTAAACACATTCACATGGCAGACTGCAGTGTCTCTTGTTTATATGACAAATGAAAATGCTAACAAATGGATGGTCACAGAAGCAGATACGATGGATAAAGTGCATGTAAATTGTTTAGATTTATTTGTTAAATATATCAGTTTGAGAGTTTACCCCCCTTTAAAAATAATTGTATGCCTATTATTAAGTTTATCATTTAATTTGAAACATTGGCACAACATCATAGAATCTTCTGTTTTCTGCTTAGTGTCTTTATTCTGTGGGTGGCCGAGCTAATTGGCTGGGCCTGCCCGATGAGAGCTGAGGAATTTGAACAGAGAGCAAAGACACTGTTTGGTTTGACAGCC